ATGCCGATGATGGTGCCCAAGTGGTGCTCCAGTTGTTTTGGGATTGCACCCAAGGCGCCTATGACTATTGGTACTACCTTTGCTTGTCTTTGCCACAGTCTTTCTATTTCTAGGTCTTTGTATTTTGTGATCTTCTCCAGTTCTTTCTCCTCTATTCTGCCGTCTCCAGGCACTGCCACGTCCACTCTCCAGACTTTTTTTGTCTTTCTTATTGACAATTGTAAAGTCCGGGGTGTTATGTTGCAGGTGCTTGTCTGTTTGAATTCTGAAGTCCCAGAGCAGTTTAATTTTATCATTTTCTATGACTTTCTCTATTTTATGATCCCACCAGTTCTTGCTTACAGGCAAATGACATTTCTTGCAGATCTTCCAATGCACCGTTGTTGCTACTTTGTCATGCCGCTGCTTATAGTCAGTCTGTGCGATCTTCTTGCATTATATTATTATTATTATTATTATTATTATTATTATTATTATTATTATTATTATTATTATTTTCTAGAAAACAAGGCTGGACAATGATGCGTCAGTGAGGATTTGCAGACACGGAATTGAATCTCTCGCTTTAAAAGCCCGATATTCCTCCAACTTAGCCAGTCTGACCATTATATTACTTTTTTTTTTAATTTGGGGGGTGGGACAGGGTTACCGAGCCCACCAAGACCAGCCTTCACAATCTAAATCGCCTACATCATTGCCGTCACACAACTGAGGAATCCCTTTCTTGAATCACTTTGGCTCAAAGGATCCCTTGGCAGCTTAGAAGCTTCTCTCGGCGATCCCAAATCTGGTTCTGTCCTTGACCAGGACTTAACCTTTTTATGATCAAGCCAGGTTATTCAGGAACTCTTTTAGTGACCTGGGAAAAGTGACTTCTATCCGTTTTTCACACTTACGTCCGTTGCATCATTCCTATGGTCGCCTGGTCAAAATTCGGACGCTTGGCAACTGACTCGTACTTACGACGGTTGCCAGTGTCCTGGAGTCCCACGATCCCCGTTTGCGGCCGTCTGACCAGCAAGCTTAATGGGGAAGCCGGAGTCACTTAACAACCCTGTTACTCACTTAACAAACGCAGCGGTTCGCTTAACAACCGTGGCAGGATAGGCCGTAAAATGGGGCAAAAACTGAACGTTAACAATTTGGGAAATTTCTTCCGTTTCGAAAGAAAAGGGCGGAAACCGCAGGGGCGTTCAGGATAATTTATTGTAAAACCTCGGAACAGTTTTGTAAAATGATGGGTAAACTACTTGTACAAATGCCGCGTTTTGAGCCATTCTGGCCAGATTCCGCTCAGATTATTCCAATCTGAAAAAGAACCAGAAACTCTCGTTAGCCCTCTGTCCGGGTGGATTCGAGGCCCCCAAAGCAGATTTTCCTAGAAGAAAGCCCCCCCCACCATCCCATAGGGCAGGGGTAGGCAACCTTGGCTCTTTTATGACTCG